CTTAAAACAAAAAAATAGCTCTTTTAAGAGAAGCTAAAAATAGATCTGAAGATATGAGTGTATTTTTGGTGTACTCCAGTGATTCAGCAGGACTGGAACACATGTTGTATCCAGAGTATTGATTAAAAAAAAAAAAAAAATGAAGATAGGAAGGTTTTCACGAAGAATATGGCTGTAAATGGGCCTTGAGTGCCATATGAAGGAATTTAGCTTTTACGTTGCAGCCAGGGGGAAGGCATTAAGGCTGTTTTTGCAAGGTAGAGATGTGAAATGAAGAAAAACTAGACCAAAGGTTCTTAACATTTTTTCTGTCATGAACACTTTCAGCAGTCTGGTGAAGTCTGTGAAACCTTCTCAAAATAATGTTTTCAAGTGCAGAAAATAAAATGCATAGTTTTACCAAGAGGAAAATAACTATATAGAAAAATAACTATTGAAAAATAGTTATTGGAAAATAACTATATTGAAAAATATTATTATTAAATAATATTAATATGAAAAAATTAGTAGGAGTATCTGTGTTTACTACTAAAGGATTAAATAACATAATCTAGCAACAGCTCTAATAACTACCATAATTTTAAAGTAGTATTGATCATAAATGATATTTCAACATTTGCAACAGCAGTAATGTGATGTAAAAGTATTTGTGATTCTCTTGGTTCCAAAGTCATAAGTCCTTCCAGTACTACTGAGGCTTGTGCCAACATTTATAATCAAAGAAAGGGCAAATTTGCAGTTAGAGGTTTCTGAAAATCAAGATATAATTTTTTTCCCCGTCCAAGCTTGCAGTTCTGAGTCCTTGCCAGATTCCTGAATTCACGACAGTATATGGAGACTGACTGGTTATGCAGCTGTCAAAAAACTCAGGTCAAAGACTTCCCTGGCAGCTCAATTGGTAAAGAATACACCTGCCAATGCAAAAGACATGGGTTCGATCCTTGATCTGGAAAGATCCCACATGCTGCGGAGTAACTGAGTCAGTGCACCACAGCTATTGAGCCTGTGCTCTAGAGCCTGCGTGCCACAGCTATTGAAGCCAGAGTGCCCTGGAGCCCAAGCTCTGCGACCAGAGAAGCCTCCACAATAAGCCCACGCACGGCCACTAGAGAATAGCCCCTGCTCGCCACAACTAGAGAAAAAGCTTGAGCAGCAATGAAGACTCAGCACAGAAAAAAATAAATAAGTAAATAAAATTCTAAAGAAAAAAAAAAACTCAGGTCAAGAAGCAAGAAGAGCCTGTGTAGGGGGTGGTAAAGGAGCAGACTGTAGAAACATTTGGGAATCGGGCTTGGTTTCTGCCAACCCACAACGAGGAATCCGCTCAAGAAGGAATTTGGGGGTAACATGTGATCTGACCAGGCAGATTCACCAGGAAGGAAACATAAATCCTTTAAGCAGTTATCCCTATTACTGTTGAGTTTCATTCATTTGTTCAACTGATACTGATTACCCTCTGTGGCAGACTTGAGGAATACAGCCATACGGACACAGTTCTTGCTTTCATGGGGCTTTCTGTCTGGTGGAAGAAACGTGATGAACAAAGCTAAACAAATAGTCTATTACTATTTGGGATCAAATGCATGAAGAGTGGTGGGACATGAGAGCATCTGGGCAGGGAAGAGGGACCAAGGCCTCTCCAAGGAAGTGACACTTAAGATGAGACCTGAAAAACCAGTAGGATATAGGTAGAGTCAGGAAGAAAACATGATGGGCAGCCTTTTGTGTGTTTTAGAGGAACTGAGAATCAAGGGAGTGGGGCGGAGAGAACCAGGGGAAGAGTAGCAAGAGGCAGAGAGAAGCTAGGCCGCGGAAGGTCTTGTCGACCCACAGAAGGATCTTGGGTACGAAGTGCAGGGGAAATCCACTGAAGCTTTCAAAAAGGGAAATGATATAATCCAGCGTGTGGTTTTTGACAGTTCTCCTGGCTGCTCTCTGAAGAGCGAGTTGTGGAAAGCAAGCACTGAATAGGGAGCTCAGCTGTGGCTGTGAGGGATGGTATGGGCTCCGACAGAGGCTAAGGCAGAAAAGACCAAGGGGAGAAGAGGGTGGAACAAAGCTATTTAAACAGGAAGAGCGATGGGCTAGAGGTGAGAAGGAGGGAGGGAGAGAGCAGCTGTGGATGAATCTCGGGCTTCAAACCATTTATTATATATATTGAGATGGGTGGCCTTGAGTAGGCGGGTTGTGGACAAGGGCAGGTGGGAGTGGCTAGAAGTCAGAGATCCTTGTGGGCATCTTCCTTTGCGATCTGAGAGAATAGGTGTTAAGTAAGCATCTATACTGACAATTCTAATGCTTAAGAGACAGGTCTGGAATTCTGGTGACACTAAAGACCCCAAGGAGGCTTTTTGTGTTAACCTTTTCCTCCCTGATCCTGGCGCTGCTCTGCAGGCAAACATATCCCACCAATCTCTACCATCCTGGCTAAAAATGTCACTGCTGGATCCTTGGCCCTATTACCAACTTTAACTATTCTTTTGTCCTTGTCCTTGACACCAGAAATAGGATCTGGACCTAGCTGCAACTTTTCTGTTGGCCTAAATCAGGCAGTATCTTTAAAGATGTTTAGAGCATTTAACTTACATAGGTTTTTTTGCATGGAATTTCTGCAGGAGGAGCTTTGTATATGTAAATTTGGAAAGTGTTAGTCACTCAGTTTTGTCCCACTCTTTGAGACCTCATGGACTGTGCCCACCAGGTTCCTCTGCCCATGGAATGTTCCAGGCAAGAATACTGGAGTGGGTAGCCATTCCCTTCTCAGGGATCTTCCCAACCCAGGGATCGAACCTGGGTCTCCTGCATTGCGGGCAGATTCTTTACTGTCTGATCATTTAACTTGCATAGGTTTCTTGCGTGGGATTTCCACAAAGGGAGCTTTGCATCTGTAAAATGAAGTGAAAGTCGCTCAGTCATGTCCAACTCTTTGTGACCCCATGGACTATACAGTCCATAGAATTCTCCAGGCCAGAATACTGGAGTGGGTAGCTGTTCCCTTCTCCAGTGGATCTTCCTAACCCAGGAATTGAACTGGGGCCTCCTGCATTGCAGGCAGATTCTTTACCAACTGAGCTATCAGGGAAGCTTGTATCTGTAAAGCAGATGCTGAACATCCTAGTGGCTTACTGTGAAATAATATTTGTTTATTGTGGCTGATTTTGTAGCAAATATGATGGGGATATTTACTCGTTTCTTAGAACTGGATGAAAATAACAGGACAGACCAAGTGAAATGCAGCAACTAAACATGCTAACAACATGGGAGAAAGGGCTACAGATTATAGAAAATTGTAGATTGTGATCATGCAAAGAAGGAGCTTCACTGTAGCTTGAAAACCTGACCCATAGCTAAATGGGGCCAAGATTAATCATGTCTTGATCTTATACATAAGCCAAAGGATCTTTTCTAAAGATCATGCCTATTAAAGCAGTAAAGACTTTTCTGCGGGTTATACCATAATGAGCTCCAGGCATTTAATGAGAGAGACAAGTGCTATTGTTAAAAGTGGTAACCTTCAGCATCTAATGTGAAAATGAAACAGGGCTGCTTGCTCTGCCAAATGAGGAATTGCTCTCCAATTCAGTCCACGAGATGAAGAGGACTCTCACAATCTTAGATGCTCTGATGCAGGCAAATTTAAATCTTCTGGGAACGAGGGAAAGGCTTTGGTTGGTTTTGTTTTTATAATTAGGTAAGGATTTTACCTGCAAGGAGCAAAGTCACTGACTCCAGGCTGCAGGCCCAGAAGCTTCTAAAGGCGGTAAAATAAAACCAGCACCAAGGAACAAACCAGCCTAAGGGTCTCGATGCAGTTTCCCAAAAGACTCTGGAAGAACAGACAGCATTTTGAGGAGGGGAGACTTGGCTTCCATCTCTGTCACAATAGCTGTCTCAGATGAGGGTAACTGCCTGGCCAAAAAACAATATTACCAGCATGAAAGTGTCCTTTCACCCCGAACCCCCAGAAATCTCCTGTCTAAGAATTTATGTTAAGCTGGATTCTCTCCTACATTGCTATGCAGTAGGAAGTGCCAGGACGTGAGTCTGCCCCTCGTCCCCCTCAGTGAGGCCCTCACTGACTGTCCCCACAGCAGACAGGATGCTACCTCACGTCCTGGAGCTCACTGCAGATTCCTGGCCCACTTGCTGCGTTCTGGCTTCCTCTTGCAATTCCCAAGAGACAGAGGGCGGCAGGGGCAAGAAGGGAAGGAACAGAGGCTGAAAACCTTTCGATGCCTGAGCCCCCAGCTACTTTGCCTTGGTGGGTTGGCCTTTCTGGGCAGGAAGAGGGTGGGGGTGGGGGGGGGTCCTCAGCTGCTTCCAAAGGACCCTTTCTTAAAACTACCACAGCACAAAACAAGCCAGGTCATTGTGTTCCTGGATATAAATATTGATTCTCGGTGGTGTTAACATTCTGTTCATAAAAAGGATGTAACATATTTCTCCCACACCATATTAGACTGATGTGCTGTTTGGCCAAGAGAAGTCCAGATTACTGGCTTCTGCAGGGGAAATGTGGACATTTAAATGCATGCAGCTCTCGGAAGTCTAGGGAGCCGTCTTGGAATAGAAACCAGGTCCCTTTCCTGGCTCCAGCCCATCTCTCCCCTGTCCAGTTTCTCCTTTCCGGACTCTATGTTGCATACCACATTGACATTTCCAATTGCTTGTAACTTAGGAGAATGCTTTCTTAGAATTACATCTTGTTTCTCAAGAACCTGGAAATGTGGGCACTTGCTCTCTTTGGGAGGGAGGCGTGGAAGGTCAAGGCCAAACATTTTTTGCTTCCTTCCCCTCAGGGGAAAGATCTGGGTGGTCCCCGCTCCTCTGTTTTCTTTTTCACCCCACGTGGGAGGGCAGGGCAAGGGCTTCAGACCAGAAGTGGTCCCTCGGAACATTCCACCCAGGCCTGACCAAGCCCCAGATTCAGAGGCGCTGGCCGCCTTGGCAAGACAAATTCCCCGCATTCCACAAGTGCTCTTGAGGGGGAAATAGCGCTAATGAGAAAGTGGAGTTCTGGATGTGTGTGCATGCTCACTCGGTGCCAGCGCGTCTCAGCAAATCCCGGGCCAGCAGTATTTCGTAAGAGAGTGGTGGAGCCGGGTTCCAGATGCGGGAGCCGCAGTGACACATGTGCTGTCAGCAGGGCCAGCGCCCTCTGCTGTCCCGGCCCGGAAGCACCACGACGGTGGGGACGAACCCGGGGCCTCCGGAAAGCGGGCGGCGGTCAGAATCCACCGCGGACCGCGGCGGGTGCGGAGGCCGCCGGCCGCTCCTCGCCGTCCAAACGCTGGGTCTGCGAGGGGCTGCACTCCCTCCGTTGAGCTGGCCCTCTTTATGTTTGGGGTTGAGAAAGAGCCAAAAATGGAGAGGATTTATAATAATAAAACCCCAGGCTCCAGCAGCATGCGCTGGTCCCATCCCTGAGAAGGTGAGGAAAAGCGGGGCCAGCTCCTGTCCCCGAACCTGGCCAGCAGGCCCGGGCCAGGTCAGATCAGGAGGGCGGCCGGCCCAGGAGGAGACCTTCCCGCTGCAGAGCAGCCCTGGGCCACTCCCTCGCCTGGGAATGCGGCTTCTGGAGGCCTTGCTGGCTCCGAGGCTGCCAGCCGAGGGGAAGTTGTTACTGCTCCCACTCAGGCATGCTGGCATCTCCTAGGGGCTGGCACCTCAGAGAGACTGGCTCAGCTTACAAGCTAAGAGCGAGCTGCCGCCCCCTCTGCTCCTCCGCTTGCCAAGACAGCGGCTCAGCAGCGGCCCAGGGTCAGGCTTGCTGCTGCAGTGTATGTGTGTGTGTGTGTGTGTGTGTGTGTGTGAGATGGTGAAAGTAGGGTGGAGATACTGCTGCAGCGTGTGTGTGTGTGTGTGTGTGTGTGTGTGTGTGTGATGGTGAAAGATAGGGTGGAGATACTCAGGTGGGGGTCAGAGGGAGGCTGGCAAATGGCACTGCTTGGACAACTTTGACGTTTTGCAAAAAGGCACAAAACAATCACATATTGTTTTTTGGTAGGTTTTTAATTTTTTTTTTTTTTTTTTTTTGGTAAACGGATCTCCTCCCTGTTGGGAGAAGAAAAACCCAACCACCAAACAAACCCCTCACAACAATGCCCTTCTCTCTCTGGGACCAATTTCCAGACTGCACAGCAGTCCTGACAAGGTCAACAAGCTGGAGCGGTAAGCGGAAGATCTTTATCTATGTGGGAAATAGGAAAATCATTTGACTGATAAAAGGAAATACAATAAATAGCATCTAAATTCCTGGCTGCATTCCCTGGGGCCCCTCCTCTGCTGGAGAAAGTGCGCGGGGCAGGATACACGTGCTGCTCCAGCAGGTTTAAAAATAGCATGCAGCACACAGCCCTTTCTTACCTTCCAGAAAGACTTCATTACCGGATCCTCAGCCCCAAGCCTGCAGAGCTGCTGCTGGCGCTTTCTTCTCCCCGCACTGGGTTTTTCTTTTTTGGAAACATTAAGGCAATGCCTGTGATACATTTTACTCATGGGCCAGCTCCTGCTCAGCTAGTTTCAATCTGGGCACGTCTCAAGCTCACGTTGAAAGTCCATTGTATTTAATGGGGTGTTAACTCTGTTTATTCTCTGGGACTTGAGCAGTAATTTTACACTCTGCAAAACTAGCAACTTGAACTTGAAGTGGTGTGCCTCTCTTCCCATCCCCACCCGTGGGTCTCAGTCCCCAGGCACCTCTGGTCCTGTTTCCAACCTTCCCTCAGCTCAGGTGGCCATACATGACCTGGATGGAGCCAGGAAACCTGGGTTCACACCCACTGCAGCCACCCTTTTCTCTTGAATCGCTTGGAGACTCAGTTTTCTCATCTGTAAAATGGGGACTTTAATCAGCTGTCGATATAACACAATTCCAAAGTGGATAAACATTTGGGGGGAGGGTACCACAAAGACCCCTATTCTGTTATTCCCAACCAGGCCACTTCTATATCACCTTGCAACATCTCCAGACCATCTCTCCACTAAAACCCAAGGTGGTTCACCGTGAAGCCTGCGGATAGGACTGGGTCTTCACTGTGCTACTCTGACCTTCTGATTCCATTCTTCCTTCTCCCTCTCCAAGTGGGCACTCTACTCTCAGGCAGAAGTTTTCTTCTCTCTCCTTTTATTCATTCACATTGCCTGGCCCTAAAAGGTGTGAATAAACAAAAGATGAGGTGGTCCCTTCTAGCTCTGAGTCTCTGGGTCTAGATTAAAATAACTGAAGCACCTGCAGTTTCTAACAAACCAATGTTCTGTATGAGCTATGTCTTAAATTATTCCCACCTGATCTAAAAACTGGATTCTTAGGGACCTTCCAGAATTGCCACTGCTTAGATGCCATCTGGACCTTGGTCCTCTCTCTCCAGGAGCCAGGCTTTCCCCCCTGCAAGTCAACAGCTCAGATCTGAATCTCCAGGCCCCTCCTTGCTGGAGTTCCTGATCTCTATTTCCAGCTCCCTCAGGCCTTCTCCATCTGGTATTCTGTAGAATCTTCAAACTCAATTTGTCCAAAATTAAATAGTCTCCCCAAACCTACATTTTCTCCTGCATCTGCCAACTCAGTTAAGAACTCTACTGCCCACTCAAGCTAAAAAGCCTGTCATTCTCCATCCCTCTTCCTCATTCTTTACCTTGCTCCCTCACTGTCCTTCTACACCCCTTCATTCACAGGAACCCCCCTCATTCAGCCATGGAACCTCCTATGAAGTGGTCCTTCTCACCATCCCCAGGCCAAGTTTCTGTAAGGTACTCAGCGTTCGGCTCTCTTCTGAGCTCCCTCAATAGCTCGTTGTTTTGTTTTTCTTCTTGATTAATTATTAATAATTCTACAATAGCTCTTCACTGGCCTTAGTCCTTCCTGCTGCCCATCTGTCCCCTCCCCAGCAGGCCCCCTTCTGTCCTGCCCACCACTATAAGAACAACCTTTCTAAAATGCAAGTCTAATCTTGCCAATATCACTCTATTATAAATTATCATTTTGGTAGTGGCTTTTATTTTATTATCTCATTTAAGCCTTGCAATAATTCCATATGATAAGCATTATCCTTGACCTGTTACATGTGAAACTGAGACTTGCTGGGTTAAAGGATGCAAGGTCACACAGCTGTCATACCTTGCAAACCAGGATTTGGTCTGTCTTATATTACAAAATCCATGTTGAAAACGTAAGGTAGTAGCTCCATGCCTGGCACACAGCAGATGGACCAATGTATTTTTCCTCCCATTTCTCCTTTTAACAGACTTCAGTCTCTTTAGCAAGGTGTGGAGGCCTATTCTGTCATGGCCAGCTTACTTTTCTGAGGCGTTCCCTGTCACTCCCTGTGATCCACCATCACCAGCCCCATCAGGCCAGATCCGGCCACGTGTTGGTCCCCAAACTCTCCCTGTTCTTTCTGAACTCTGTCCCTTTGAAATTTTTCCCACAGCTTGGCAAACCTTTTGTTCCTCCGTCTTCCTCATCTGTAAGGATCAGGTCAGCTAGAGCCCACTGTGCGATGCTTTCTCTGATCCCCAGACACAGAAGCGGTGGCTCCAACATTCCCCTTGCTGATACCGCTTGCTGTGTGCCCTTTAGTTGGATGCTGATCACACTGGAGTGTGGTTATTTGGGCCTGTCTCTTCCCACCTTTGAATCCCTGTGCCTGGCACTGTGCCTAGGACAGAGTGGGCACTCACGGAAAGTGTGTGGATTTAGTTCCATCCCTCATCCTTCCCTATGACTAATGCTTAATTTCGGTTGTTTTGCAAAGGTGAGAACGTTCCCAAAGAATGGTTTGCGTCACCTCCGTTCTCTGACTCCTACGCCCACCTCCTCCCTGATTGGCTCTTGTGAGGTCATCAGAGACCCCCACGTCACCGGGTCCCCAAACACTTTCTCGTCTTGTCCTCCCAAGCTCTCAGTAGCACTGGACACAGATGCCACTCCCCTCTTCAGTCACCCTCTCCTCCTGGCTTCTGGGCATCACAGTCTGCTGTTTCCTTCCTGCCTCTCCAGGCTCTCCTGGTCCCCAGCCGACCTCTGGAATAGAACCACCTCAGCACTCTGTCCTAAGCTGTGTTCTCTTCTCTCCCAACGTTCCTTTCCCAAATGGGCTTGCCACTTCCCATAGTGCAAAATACTATCTCCATCTTCAGCTCTGAGCTCCAGAGTCAAACATTCAATAACCTCAGTGATTTAATTGAACCACTTAGAGGATTCTTAGGTATCTCAGACCCTCAGTTTTATCCCCCAAACCTTTCCTCCCTCACTGGGTCCCACCACTTTCAGTGAAAGGCATAATTATGGGTCCTCTTCCTGGGATCTTGGGAGTCACTTATCTAGGAAGAAGGTGTCTTGGAAGAGGGATCCAGTTTCAGGAGGTCTGAATATTATGCTTTCCTATCTCTGACACAGGTTTGGAAAAACACCAGATTCTTTAAGCTGGTATTCCGTGCCCAGCATCATGTGAGTACCATCCCCTACCCAGACTTTTCAGCCCCATCTTTTATCCTGCCCCTAGTTCAGAAATACCCTTCTGCAGAAAAAGTTTCCTGACCTCTTGCTATGGTCTGAATGCTTGCTATATGTTGAAATCCCAACCCCCAATGGTATTTGAAAGAAAGGCCATTGGGAGGTGATTAGGTGTGAGGGAGGAGCCCTCAAGGATGGGGGTCAGTGTCCTTATTAAAGGGATCCCAGAGAGCCAAGAGTTCTCTTGCCTCTTCACTGTGTGAGGACACAGCAAGAAGACACCATCTGTGAACAGGAAGTAGGCCCTCAACAGCCACTGAAGCCATCCTTTCCTTAATCTTGGGCTTCCCAGCCTTGAGAATAAACTTCTGTAAGCCACCCAGCCTCTGGTATTTTGCTATAGCAGCCGGAACAGACTGAGATGAATCAAGCCATCCCCCGTCCTTTAAATACACCTTGCAAATGTGCATCTTTGCACTTACTGTTCTCTGTTCCTTTCCATCTGCCTTCAGGCCTTTCCAATCCAGCATCTTCTAGAATCTTCCATGTCTGCTCCACCCAATGATGTCTATCCTTCTCAAACCCCTCTAGTAACACAGAAAGTTGGTAGCACCCAAAGCCTCACACTGACTGTTGGCTTTCCCATTGCTTGTGTCGTGTGTCCTTTCCAGACTGGGTGAAAGGTGAGGACTGGTGAGGTGTCTTGTTCATCGTGTGCCACAGGGCCCAGAGCACTGCCCGGCAATGTTACAAGTGGCTAGAACATAGGTGCTGAAACCCTCCTTGCATGGTCTCACCTATCCTGACAGTCCCCTGTCTAAGTGTGATACAGAGCTATCCATTTTATTTGCTTAGGTATTCTCTATTTAA